CTCCGCGGGCAGCGTAACCAGCATCACCCTCCCAAACTCCAGCCTCAACGGCACTCTCGACTCCTTCGGCTTCTCCTCACTCCCCAACCTCACCGTCCTCAACCTCAACGCCAACCTGCTACGCGGCCCCATCCCTCCGAACATCTCCTCTCTATCGAAGCTCGCCACGCTAGACCTCGGCAGCAATGGCTTCGTCGACGCTCTGCCGCCCCAGGTCGGCCAGCTTTCGGAAATCACCCATCTCCGCCTCTACAACAACAGCTTGGTCGGGGAGATCCCCTATCAGCTCAGCAACCTTAACAAGGTGCAAGAGTTCGATCTCAGCTCGAATTACTTGGAGGATCCTGATTACGCCAAGTTCGCTCCTTTGCCTTCGGTCACGTATTTTTCGCTCTCGCTCAACTCCCTCGTCGGAGAATTCCCTGCATTCTTGTTGAATTGCACGAACTTGACGTTCCTAGACTTGTCGCTGAACGAGTTCACCGGTCCGATACCTGAAGAGCTGACGAGGCTGGCTGATCTTCAGTACCTCAACCTGACGTCTAATTCTTTCCGAGGACCGATCCCGCTGCTCCTGACGAAGTTTACAAAGCTCAGAGACCTCCGGCTTGGTACCAATCAGTTCGCTGGAGGAATACCGCCCGAGATTGGATCGATGACCAGCCTTCGGATACTTGAACTGTACAACAATTCGTTGGGCGGGCCGATTCCTTCTTCGTTCGGACAGTTGAAGAATCTGGAGTGGATCAGTATCAAGCTAGCTGGATTGAATTCTACCATACCGATGGAGCTCGGGTTGTGCACAAATCTCCAATACGTCGAACTGTCTCTTAATTATCTCACCGGTGGATTGCCCTCCTCTTTTGCAAACCTGACCAAAATGAAGGATTTTGGGATTTCAGCCAATCTGTTGTCTGGTGAGATCTCAGGTGACTTGTTCAGAAACTGGCCTCAGCTGGCTTCGTTTCAGATACAGGTCAATTCGTTCTGGCAACGGAATTGCAGTATCTGTACCTCTTCAGCAACTTCTTCTCAGGATCGATCCCACCTGAGATTGGGAGCTTGATCAATTTGCTGGAATTGGATTTCTCAAACAACTCGTTGTCGGGTACGATCCCAGCTGAGCTTGGGCAGCTTACTAACCTCACATCATTGGGCTTGTTCTCCAACAATCTCACAGGCAAAATCCCGCCTGAGATTGGAAACATGACTTCATTGGTCTATCTAGATGTAAACACCAACCAATTAGAAGGGGAGCTGCCCAGCACAATTTCCGAGCTTGAAAACCTTCAAACTCTTCAGGTATTTACCAACAATTTCACTGGGACTCTACCTCAAGATCTCGGTAAGCATGGGCTCTTGGTTACTGCAAGCTTTTCGAACAATAGCTTCTCGGGTCCGGCCTCAAGATCTCGGTAAGCATGGGCTCTTGGTTACTGCAAGCTTTTCGAACAATAGCTTCTCGGGTCCGCTTCCACCTACTCTTTGCAGCTTGGTTACTGCAAGCTTTTCGAACAATAGCTTCTCGGGTCCGCTTCCACCTACTCTTTGCAGCGGCTTCCAACTTCAGTACTTGACAGTCAACAGAAATAACTTCTCAGGGCATCTGCCTGACTGCTTGCGCAATTGTCGTGACTTGATACGAGTTCGGCTAGAGGGGAACCAGTTCATAGGCGATATATCAGAAGTATTTGGCATTCACCCCCAACTCAAATACTTGGATGTCACAGGGAATCAATTGACAGGAACACTATCATCAGACTGGGGACAATGTGAAAGCCTTCAATACTTGCACATAGATGGAAACAGCATCACTGGAGATATCCCAGTGCAGTTTGGTGAGATGAGCAAGTTACAGGATCTGGGCTTGTCTTCCAACTTCTTGTCAGGCACAATTCCGTCTGAGCTTGGGAATTTAGATCAGCTCTACAGGCTGAATTTGAGCAGTAATCTGATATCTGGGACAATTCCTTCACAGATTGGCGGTATCACATTGTTACAGAGTCTCGATTTATCAGGAAACAAGCTGACAGGCAAGATACCTACTGAGCTCGGCAATCTGGATCGGCTTCTTTTGCTTGATTTAGGCCAGAATGACTTGTCAGGCACCATACCTGACCAACTTGGGAACTTGGGTTCTTTGCAAATTGCATTGGATCTCAGTAGAAATTCTTTATCTGGAAAGATTCCTTCTAATTTGGCAAAATTATCATCGTTGGAGAAGCTCAATGTTTCCCATAACGAGCTCTCTGGCCAGATCCCGAAAGAGCTATCACAGTTGTCCAGCCTGCTAACAGTTGATTTCTCTTACAACAACTTAAGTGGTCCCCTACCTTCAGGGCACGCTTTTGAGAGTGCCACCTTGGAGGACTTCGTCGGGAACCAAGGGCTCTGTGGCAATGTTTCAGGTCTGCCGTTGTGTTTTCTAGTTGCTGCATCCAACGTTTCTCACAAGAATCACACCAAGCTCATCCTCGCCATCATTCTCCCCATTGTCGGAGCTCTAATACTAGCATTCATATTCACTGCAACCATTTATGTATGGAAAAGGAGAGAAGAAGAGCCTGTCATGCTGGAGAGCATCAACACAGATAGTTCAGAGTCTCTGATATGGGAAAGAGAAGGGAAGTTTACTTTCTTCGATATCATGAACGCAACCGATAACTTCAATGAAGTGTTCTGCATCGGAAAAGGGGGTTTCGGGAGCGTCTACAAGGCTGAGCTACCCAATGGCCAAGTAGTCGCCGTGAAGAAGCTCCACATGTCTCAGCCTGGTGAGATCCCAGAAACCACACGAAAGAGCTTTGAGAATGAAATAAGGGCTCTGACCGAGGTCAGGCATCGCAACATTGTGAAGCTTCACGGGTTCTGTTCAAGGAACGGGAACATGTATTTGGTCTATGAGTATGTTGAGAAGGGGAGCTTGGCCAAAGTATTGTATGGAGATGACGGGAGCAAGAAGTTCGGTTGGGCTCAAAAGGTGAAGGTGGTTCAAGGTGTGGCTCATGCTCTGGCGTATTTGCACCATGACTGCTCACCGCCGGTGGTGCATCGAGATTTGTCAGCGAACAACATCCTGCTGGAGTCAGACTTCGAGCCGAGGATTGCTGATTTCGGTACAGCAAAAATGCTGACACCAGGAGCATCAAATTGGACCACAGCTGCGGGATCTTATGGCTATATGGCTCCAGGTATAGCAACACAAGTTCTCTATTTCACTATTTGTTTCTGTGACACGCTACTAAACTTTTTTCTGATACTTGCAGAGCTTGCATATACGATGAAGGTCACTGAGAAATGTGATGTGTACAGTTTTGGAGTTGTGACGCTGGAGGTTATGATGGGGAATCACCCAGGGGAGCTCATTTCGTCTTTGCCATCGTTGTCAGCATCTTCAGGCAACGATATACTTCTGAAGGATGTATTGGATCAAAGGCTTGACCCGCCAACAGGTCAATTGGCTGAGGAGGTGGTATTCATAATGAAAGTTGCTCTTGCTTGCACTCGAAATGACCCAGCGTCGAGACCTTCAATGCGATTCATAGCACAGGAGATATCTGCCCGGACACAGGCTTATCTTCCCGAGCCGCTTCGTGCCATTACAATCAGCAAGCTTGTAGGCTTTACCAAATGATCTATCCTGTTCAATCCAAGAAGTAAAAGATTGTTCAGAGAAAAAAAAAATCTGAATTTTACACTGATATTTTTTTACAATATACATCCTAAGTTGTTTATAGTTTGTTTATTGGTCAAAAGGTGTTATATATTTGAGCTCTTGCTTTGACATCTTGAATCAGATGAAGAAACTAAGGCCAACAGAGACGGAGACTCATTTGGCTTTACTCATTGTTTTCATAGTTGTTGAGGGCAAAGGACGTTTCGACGCGCTTTATGCTTCCAAAAAAGTAACACTAACAAATAAATTTGTCAGGCGCTGCTGAAACAATATACAGAATTTGATCAGGAATCATTAAAAAAATCAGCACCAACGATATTTCACAGCCAGCTCTTGAAGAGCTAGTTAATGGACATATTGCTGAAGTACTAAATAATGACACCCATAAAAAAATTATTCCAACATAATCATCTGTATGTCACCAAGTAGCCCACACACAGATCCTATCCTGGAGTTATACCTGACACAGAAATATAATCAAATGACTTGATCATCATCAGAAGTTCAAACAGTGGCAAGTCATATTACATAAGCATTATTAACCTGCGGTCGCTATCCAGCATATTTGAGAGCTTATGAATTTTTTACAATCTCCATTGTAATGCTATTGATTTTTCTTATCTTTTGTGTTTCTTGCTATTGACGTTTATTTTTATTATTTGTTTCTTTGTTTTCTCGGAAGGATGAGGGTGAGCCTTGGTGCAACGGTAAGGTTGCTGCCTTGTGACGTGCAGGCAGAGGCAGAGTTAAGTTCATGGGTTGTGGTGCAGTTACACCCCAACAAATATACAAATTGCATATAAAGTCATTGTAA